AATGGCAGCGTTCAAGGCAGAGGTTAGGGTAGTGATATATATGGAGCTGGCCAGTGAGGGACAGGAGAGGGAAGGGACAGATAGGAGTTGTGAATCAATATCAGTTGACAGATGCTGGAGGTTCATAGAACTAAGGTTCCTCCTGAGTTGAGGGGGGTTAGGCTTAGGTTATTGGATGAGGGGGTACTCTAGAGCAAATGATAAGAAGTGGTGGTTTAGAGAGAGGAAATGGATTGTTGGAGATATCAGGCACTGTATATGCATAAGAGAAAATGAGGTTGAGGGTGTTGTCCTGTTTTCTGTTGTGTACTGCACATCTACATTAAACGACTATCCAATGATTTACTTCATCCTTTTCTTGATTAATCAAAAATAAATTCTGAACTCAAATTCCTGAACTCAAGGTGCATGTATATGGCTGAAGGAACCTGTCATATACTAAATGTAGAAATTAGTTTTTAATTTTTTTATACTTCATTTTCCTTTTGGGAGAGTGTGTGTTATAAAAGAAGTATTTGTGGTGAAATCTGTGTATAGCAGCTCTGTACACTAATGTGGATTACCCTTTATTCCACATGCAAATAATACAGAAAAAGAAATTGGTATATAATATACATATACCTTAAGTGGAGCGCTATAAGTGTTGAGGGGTTACCTCACGAAATCTTGATTGAATTGTGTATGTCAGGTAAAGATATACAAGATATAAAACAAAATATAAAGGTGAGCTTAATACCTATTCACATTTTTCCAAGATATTTCTAAAACAACTATATAACACATTGGATGTTTCTGGTCATGTCAAACTAACCTAATTGCATTCTACAAAGAAATAAGTGAAAGTATAGATCAGGGTGTTGCAGTGGATGTGATCTACTTTGATTTTGCCAAGGCATTTGATATGGTTCCTCACAATAGGTTAGTCTTCAAACTAAAATAAATTGGTCTAGATGATTATTCTTGTACAAAGAGTTGGCATTAATGGTAAATTTTCAGGCTGGACAAAAGTGGTAAGTGGTGTCCCTCAGGGTTCTGTTTTGGGACTGCTTCTTTTTAACATATTTATAAATGATCTTGAAATGGGCATTGAAAACCATATTTCTGTGTTTGCAGATGACACAAAACTCTTTAAAGTAATAAAATGTGATCAGGCTATTGTGTTGCTGCAGAGGGATTTGGATAGATTGGGGGACTGGGCACTAAAATGGCAGATTAAATTTAACGTGGAGAAATGCAAAGTTAGGCACTTTGGGGTCAAGAATGCACAAGCAAATGACACCCTAAATGGTAGTGAACTAGGGATAACCACACACGAGAAGGATTTGGGAATTGTTATAGACAACAAATTAGGCAGCAATATGCAATGTCAATCTGCAGTTGCTAAGGCCAGTAAGGTTTTGTCATGTATAAATAGGGGCATAAATTCTCAGGATGAAAATATAATTTTGCCTCTTTACAAAATCGCTGGTAAGACCACACCTTGAATATGCTGTGCAATTTTGGGCATCTGTTTTAAAGAAGGATATCATGGCACTAGAAAAAGTGCAAAGACGTGCTACAAAATTGAAAAAAGGAATGGAGCATTTTAGTTACGAAGAAAGGTTAAAAAATTTAAATCTCTTTAGTTTGGAAAAACGGCGCCTCAGAGGGGATATGATGACATTATACAAATATATTCGGAGCCAGAACAAACCATTATCTGGAAATCTATTCATAAACAGGGACATTCATACATAGGACTCGAGGTCACACATTTAGGCTGGATGAAAGGAGATTTCATCTAAGGCAAATAAAAGTTATTTTTTACAGTAAGAGTAATAAGCATATGTAATTCTCTGCCTGAAGAGGTGGTTTAATCTGAGTCCATACAGATGTTTAAACTGAAATTGGATAAATACTTGCAAAAACATAACATACAGGGATATGATTTCTAATTAGTGGGGTAATAGCTGTTTGATCCAAGGAGACATCTGACTGCTATTTTGGGGTCAGGAAAGAATGTTATCTTAGTTTGTTGCAAAATTGGAAGTGCTACAGACTAGGTTTTTTGCATCCTTTTGGATCAACAGCAAAAACATATGTGAGGAAGTCTGAACCTGATGGACGCAAGTCTCTTTTCAGCTAGGTAACTATGGAATATTGTTTTTATCTTCCCAGAGCAAAAATCCCAGCAGGAAATAGTGGTGGGATGCTGCCCTAAAAAGCATACCAGTCCTGTTTACCGAGCCAATATTATAGGCTCTTTAAAATGTGAGTGACCCATTTTTCTATTTTACCAAACTTACACAGTGTTTCGATAATCTGCACTATATTATATTTTTTATATATTTTATATCTTTACCTGACGTACACGATACAATCAAGATTTTGTGAGGTAACCCCTCAACACTTACAGCACTCCACTTTAGGTATATGTATGTTATATACCAGTTTCTTTTACAATAACAACTTTAGCTTAGTTAAGTGGGTTTGGTAAATAGATCATACCCCTGTAGTATCACTGTTCAAGTGTGTTAGCATTGGTTTGATCAATCTCCTCCAAAATTTGCTTTGACCTGAAAGCAGACAGGGATGGTAAATGCAAGTATGCCACTGCGTGTCCATTGAAAAATACTTGAAGGTCATTTGTTAAATTAGGAAGAGTTGAGAAATTACCAAGCAATTGCAAACATTAGGCCAAAACAGTTGACCTAGAAACATAATGGATTTCCAGATTTTCTTTTCAGTCTGGTTATATTTTAGCTCAGAAAAAAAACCTGTAGGTACAAGAACCTGAGAAAGAATGCAGGGTATCCAGTTGTCATTGGTAATTAGATAAAAGATTATGTTAGCTCATTTGTAATAGACTGATTCGTCTTTATATATATATATTTTTTTAAGTGAATTAGGAAGATATCAATGCAACGTAGATGGAGTAATAATAATGTCTGAATGATATCATGTTCTTTGCATATCAATTGCTCCATTAAAATCTATTACCCAATATGAGTAGACAACAGGCAAACTGGCTGATTTTTATTTTTATTTTTATTTTTTTTTAATCATTATTTCCCTTTGGGTGTTAATTATCATTTTTTGAATCTCCAAATTTCATTCAATTCTACATAAATTAGCTTTGGTGCTGGTTGCTGATTAAAATTGCATCCTATAAGCAGTGCATGATTAGAAAATCACTGAATGCCCAGTCTAAGTAGGAGAAACTGATCCAAATGAAAGATTAACTAATGAAAGGAATAATTCAAAACACATTAAGGCTATTCTCTGTTAAAATATTCACTTTCACTCTTGAAATTATGTATTCAATATTGTTGGAATTTTTATGTTTTTTAAGATAATATAAAGTACTAATTCCATGTTAAATAAGTCTACTGTCTTATTTATTTTTTTGTTTTATTATTTTAGGAATGATCCCAAACAACTAAGAAAACAAGAAAATGTGCAGTACACCCCCAAAATGGCAAAAGTAAGGTTAGTGGTGCTTGTTCTTCAACAAAAAAGCAGACTATTAGAGCAGGACGATAATTAGGGTAACAAAAAGTTTGAAACAAGTTTCACAGTCTGGTATCATAAATATTTTGGACCAAGATAAAAATGTAATGAATGGAGCAATTTGTTTTATCTGAGAAAATAAGTAATACAACTTTTAATGACAATATCACATCTTGGAGTGATACCGTTTAACACTTGAATATCTATTGTCTGATGGATCCACTTAAGTATAAGAATATATCTTCAACAATTTTGTTTTAATTATGGCATTTGAAGTCCCAGGAGTAAATTATAGGACCACTCCAGGCACCATAACAACTTAATAAATTCATAATATGATGTCTTATTATCTTATGTTTCAGTTAAATCTTTAGGGAGGTTTCAGGTAGGAAGCCTCAGCCTGGGCTCCACTAGAAGGCTAAGAGCATCAAACTTTGAAGCCTTAGACCAAGAAAGGAAGTGCAGGGGCAAAGCTATTAGACCCGTCTTTCAGATTTGGGGGTTAAACCATTCACTAATGGTTTAACCCCCTAAGGTAAGAGGGTACCCTGGACCTCTTTGCATCATAACAACATAATGACTTCAGATAAAATTGGTTTTATCAGGGACAGAATGTCCACTTTTACATTGAGAATGTTAGGATCCTCTATATTATTGAAAAAGTACAGATTTTTGTTATTTTAATTTAACTGGACAATTTAAAGGAACACTATAAGTGCCCAATCCACTACAGCAGTGTTGATGGAGCTAAATGGCTACGACCACTTCTCAAAATGTCAGAGGCTAAATATATGTTTAAGACTGATTTGGAGAGCTCTGTTGTAGCATGTTACTGAAAAAGACACTTCAAACCCTTTTAAGGAAGTTAATTGCATTTTTGCTGATTGTGTTGACACATTTTAATATATGCATCTTTATTATGATCATTCTGATTAGACTTAAAAGTGATTGTTCACATAATTATCATCCAATGATTCTCAGCATGTAGCACATATAAATATATATTTTTTCATTATGATGTTGGTGGTGTTACGAGTTATTTGCAGAATAAATTGATATCATAATTAGACAGTAGATTTTCTTTATGTTGAAAGGTGAGATCTCACTATAGAGTATTAAATTATCAAGCATGCAGCAAAATAATACTGTATTAGGTGTTAGATCTGCTTGTCTGTTTCATCATATCTCATCGAGAGCTGCTCAGAATAGGGATAATTGTGGCCATTTCAACTGATTACGTTCAGTTTGCACATAGAAAAGTGTATTAAAGATTTCTAGCAACTCCTAAATTATGTAACAGTGCATATATTCTAATAATATTTTAAAGAAATTTAAATTTAAAATCCATATCCAAAACATTTGTATGGTATCATGATCATACCCCTGTTTGTATGGTAAATTATAAATAATGTTCAAGAGAAACTGCTATGTTTACAATAGGCTTAATCCAGCCTCAGGGCCGGCGCGTCCATAAGGCGGCACAGGCGGCCGCCTTAGGGCGCACCGGCTCTGGGGGCGCAAAATTCCAGTGACCGGCAGGAGGGAAGTGCTCCCTCCTGCCAGGTCACCTCCTGGATCCCCGGCGCGGCGTGCGGCTGAACTGGATGCCGAGGGAGCTCTGATCTCTCTGATGTGCTCCCTCGCAGGCTGCTTACTGATGACGTCATATTCCGGCTCCCGCGGCATCAGTCAGCAGCCTGCGAGGGAGCAGATCAGAGAGATCAGAGCTCCCTCTCCACCTCGGATTCCAATTCAGCCGCACGCCTCCCAGCAGCCCCACTGGACCACCAATGAGAGACCCACGCCAGCTCTCCAGGTAGGGAGGCTGGGTGGGAAATTTAAATTTAATTAAGATTATTAATTTCTGTGTGTGTGTGTACATGTGAGTATGTGTGTCTGTCAGTGTGTGTGTGAGTATGTGTGTCTGTCAGTGTGTGTGTGTGCATGTGAGTATGTCTGTCAGTGTGTGTGTGAGTATGTGTGTCTGTCAGTGTGTGTGTGTGCATGTGAGTATGTCTGTCAGTGTGTGTGTGAGTATGTGTGTCTGTCAGTGTGTGTGTGAGTATGTGTGTCTGTCAGTGTGTGTGTGTGTGTGTGTGTGTGTGTGTGCATGTGAGTATGTGTGTCTGTCAGTGTGTGTGTGTGCATGTGATGTCTGTCAGTGTGTGTGTGAGTATGTGTGTCTGTCAGTGTGTGTGTGTGTGTGTGTGTGTGTGTGTGTGTGCATGTGAGTATGTGTGTCTGTCAGTGTGTGTGTGTGCATGTGGTGTGTCTGTCAGTGTGTGTGTGTATGTGTGTCTGTCTGTGTGTGTGTGTATGTGTGTCTGTCAGTGTGTGTGTGTGCATGTGAGTATGTCTGTCAGTGTGTGTGTGAGTATGTGTGTCTGTCAGTGTGTGTGTGAGTATGTGTGTCTGTCAGTGTGTGTGTGTGAGTATGTGTGTCTGTCAGTGTGTGTGTGCATGTGAGTATGTGTGTGTGTGTGTGTGTGTGCTGTCAGTGTGTGTGAGTATGTGTGTCTGTCAGTGTGTGTGTGCATGTGAGTATGTGTGTGTGAGTGTGTGTGTCTGTGAGTTTGTGTGTGTGTGTGGTTCTGTCAGTGTGTGTGTGAGTATGTGTGTCTGTCAGTATGTGCATGTGTGCATGTGAGTACGTGTGTCTGTCAGTGTCTGTGAGTTTGTGTGTGTGTGTGTCAGTGTGTGTTTTTCAATGAGTCTGTCAGTGTGCGTGTGAGTGTCTGTCAATGAATGAGTGTGTCAGATAAGTGAGTCTGGCTGTCAGAGATGTCTGTGTGTTTGTCATTGAGTGTGTGTGACTGTCAGTGTTTATACACCCCTGACTGTAGCGTGGCCAAGCGGAGTGTACCGTGGTACAGGAACTTCTGTTTCCTGTACCTGGCAGAACTTACAGGAAAAGCTCACTGTACCGGGATTCGCTCCGCTCAGCCACGCTACAAAAAAAGGTAGGAGGCACACCAGGAAGGGGAGGGGACCACTATGGGGGTGGGTGGCGCACCAAGGGACAGGGAGAGGAGGGGAGAGATACCCTAAGGTACAGGAAAAGGAGGGAGGGGGGGAGAGGAACACTAAGCGACAGCCAACAGATGGGGGAGGGGAGAGGAACACTAAGGGACAGGGAAAGGAGGCGGGAAGGGAAAGGAACAGTAAGGGTCAGAGAAGGGAGGGGACCATTAAGGGACGGGGAGAGGGGCCGGATGTGAAAGAAACACACAGCGGGGCTTGAGAAGGAAAGAGACACAAACAAAGGAGCTGGGAAGAATAAAAGACACAAATGGGCTGGGAGAAAAGGAGTCACACAAAGGGGCTGGGAGGAGTAAGACACAAAATGTGGGAGGATGTAAGAGTCATACAAAGAGGAGAGATAGGAGACACACAAAGGCAAAAATAGTAGATAAAATACACTAAAGGGAGTCAGATATTTAAAAGACGGGATAAGAAACACAAAAGGGAGGTTAAGAGGCACATGGGTGAAGATGTTTTTGGGGGGGCGGAAAAATGCATCTTCGCCTATGTACCCAAAATTCTTTGCACCGGCCCTGTCCAGCCTCTAGTGGTTGTCTCATTGACAGCCGCTAAAGGCGCTTCCGCGCTTCTCACTGTGATTCTCACAATGAGAAGACGCTGCCGTCCATAGGAAAGCATTGAAAAATGCTTTCCTATGGACTGATTGAATGCATGTGCAGCTCTTGCCGAGCATGCACATTCGGCGGATGACGTCAGAAGAGGGAGGAAAGGTAAGTGTTTATCCCCTTAACCCCTCTTGAGCCTGGCGGGTGGGGTGGACCTATTAACACTATAATGCCAGGAAAACTAGTTGTTTCCCTGTCTCTGATTTATTGTTTTACTTTGACTGGTCCGTTATACGAACACCACCGAACAGATTGGACAATTTGGTTCGTATACTGAACAATATACCGAATGGATAGACCACCCAGAACAGTCGTGTGCCACTCATTAACCTGCCTGACCTCCTTTACACTTTCGCAAACCGCAATCCCTAACATTCTAAGTGGTCGACTGGGAGGCCGCACACATATGGTACTTCCAACTCCATGTATGTTCAGTTTGGTTCGACTAACTAGAGCAGCGTTCGGTAGAAACAAACTCTCAAACGAGGGGCACACGACCAACTCATATACGAATGGTTACTTTAGTTGTTTTATTGTATTTTGTATTCCTGAAAGAGACCGACCGCTCAGCCTGAAATTATGGAACTCTTTTGGGCAGGCGTCTCGTCTGTGGTCAGTCTAAACTATATCACAGTGGTGTTTCGGCTGCGTTTGTGGGATCTGAGGGCTTTCTAGATATGTTGGACGCTCAGATCCAGGCTACCTGGGGATATAGGACTTGAGGGGATACCTACTTGTTAAGTGTGTATTTTGGGGTGTTTTTATTACATATGTCCTGGACCAGAGAGTTAATGTAATTATGTGTGTGCTTTTGCTGAAGTCCCCTCTCAGGTCCAGTGGGGAATGCCCCTGGAATATGTAATCAGAAACCCCTTGCATTGGGACTTGCATACAAGGCCAGTTGTGGCTTCCATTAAAACAGTTCAACTTTACTCTCAACACAGAACCTAGTCTCATGATTTGCTTTATTACCACTGGGATTACTGCTTGGGAATACTACAGCATTACTCACACTAGGGGGAATGGACATCTCTGGCAGCAGAAACCCCTGTTCTCTCTGGGTGGCAGATACAGGGACTAATTCGCGGAGGCGAATTGACGTTGGACTGTACCAGAGAGTCGAGCATCTTCCAGGTTCGCAGCAGCCAAAAGCCATCTTTTGGAGAGAGATGTTGATCCATTTTTGAAGATCAGAAGATGGGTTGGTAAAAAGCCCAGAAATACTGGATTTGATGAGCTTGGAGTGCCTCGGTCACTTGCTGGAAGGTCCGCTGTCTCATCGTTCCTACAGAGAAATCTGCAAAGACATGGATTGGAGCAAACTCCATTTTTTTTTTTTGGATTGGTTAATTTTGACCATAATATCAAACAAGCAGGCTCCAATTCTGGTAGATGCTTGGGTCTAAGCAGTGAATCTGATAGAGCAGGAACATTTCCACGGGGAAGTCAGTAGCTATTGCTTTAAAGAAGCTATTTGCAAATTACATAAGTTCAGTGGATTTTATAGATTCAGGGATACCGATTCCACCTCCATATGAAGTGTATCAATGCTAGACTGCCATGCATTTATTAATTAGACAGATAAGACATCTAGGGAGGCCTGGAGAAAGTGTTTAGTTAGTGGCTCTCCATCTGTGTCCATGTTGACAAGGGGAAAAGAACAGCTTACCTCTGAATCTTCGTCAACATCTTGCAGGGCACCTTGTGCTGTCGGCTTTGTTGATGGGACTTTTTGGCCAAATAAATCAAGCCTGTCAGACGATTCTTGTCAATTTTTGGATTGGTGATGTGCCATGCTCATTTTAATACAGTTGTTATGCAGGTTTGAGATCATTGTGCTGCATATTATCGCTCTAGACAAGCCATGACCCGCTATGATGATATTTTGAAAAATTATTTTTAAAAAACTTGAATCACTTGGAAAGCTTATCCAACAATATTAAATCAAGGTCCAAGTTCTGGCTTTATATTCTTAACAAGTAAAATAAATATAAGATAAATGAAAATGAAAACTGACAAATTTTTTTGTGGTGATCAACGTGAATAATCTTTGTAGAAGGCACATTGTCATCTATTAAATAGCTGAATATAGGACACATCCATTGGTTAACATAAACTGGTGATTTGTAGCATGTTTTGGATGTGTGTATGTTGTGTATGTTAATATATGTGTATGTTGTAAATGTAGTGCATATTAATGTTTAATATATGCCTACATGATGTGCATAATGCATGTGTTATATGTGTGATAAATGTGTGTTGTATATGAATAAAATACATGCTAAAAATACTGCTCCTTCCTTCCAAACCGATATTGATAAGACCATTTGTTTGCAACTTACGACGTCCATGGACATTCATTGAAACTCCACTCTAGCCACCTCAAATTTAAAGGGCAATTTCAAAACTGCGACTGTGCCTTCATTTTTAATATTTCAGAGACATACTATGCATCAAAATGTAGGTCTGGGTCTTGTGATTCTCACAATATAAAGCTCTTCGCTGTAGGATGTATAGTGTTTAAAACTATGACCATTTGAAGATGGCAGCTATTATTTCACATAATACTGGTGGAGGCAAGAACACTTCACACAATTTCCCCAGAAATTGTAGCTTTTCTAGTTTGCTATGGAATTTTAAAGGTGACAGATCCACTTTAATTTGAGATTCTGTACTAACACGTCTTCATTTTAATTTACTTTATTACTCATGATATATGCTATATTGCGCTTCCACGATGTCTAAACCAATGTTCTTTTGATGTAGAATATTTGGTACACTACAGGGAAATAAAAACACAAAACTGTGTTATTATTGTTTGTTTTGTTTTCAATGCTTTGCTGGATTTGTAGCTCTAAGATTTTCAAATATAAAAATCTGAAAAGCGAGTATTATACACATGCAAGTTTTGTTTGATGCATATCTATAAAATGTCATGTCACGCTTTGCTTGTTATTTTGATTCATTTTTTCTTTAAAAAACGAATTGAATATATTTGAGCTTTTTTTTAATAGACACTGCATTTGAGTTTATGTGATAACATTTGGCATTCTATTAATCCTTGTCCTTAGTACATCACGGTGCTGGGCTGCTTTTTAAATACTTCAGAGCCAGTCTGCGGCTCTGAAGTATTAAATTGTTAACTTTAAAAAATAAAATTCCGTAAACCATGAGATATTTCAAATCTTCTTAGGAAACATTTTGCTAGCTGTTCAATCCAAAAATCTGAACTCATCCCTTAGTAGTTCAGAATGAGAACTTCCCCTTTAGACTCTCGCTTCAATAAGTTTAGACTGATGTCAAAATCCTTCGACATAGAAGAGTTCTTCATTAATCATTTACAATGATTATAAGGAGCATTCTTCAATCTTGCTTCATGGTGTCATGCTGCTTTAATCTGCAGGTTTAAAAATATTTTAGAAATCATTATCTTATTTAAATACAACATTTATACTCCTAAGATAATTTTAGTCTTCTGAATAATACTAGTATATTTTAATTAACATCCTGCTGAAACACCTACAACTCTCAGGCCTCACTTCACACTCAAACTCAGCGAAGAACTGCATTTAACATCCTGCTGAAACACCTACAACTCTCAGGCCTCACTTCACACTCAAACTCAGTGAAGAACTGCATTTAACATCCTGCTGAAACACCTACAACTCTCAGGCCTCACTTCACACTCAAACTCAGTGAAGAACTGCATTTAACATCCTGCTGAAACACCTACAACTCTCAGGTACTGACTGAATCTTGGAAGATACTCCACCTCATTTATTCCTGGATTGCTACCATATTCTCATGTGTTACTATAGATTTTTTACCATTTGTACCTGTAGTTTGCCATTGTAATTTTCTGTGCATGTAGTTTGTACTATTGTCATTTAATGTTTCTGACCAATATTTCATGTAGACAATTATTAATATTTTGGGTGATAGAATTTGGTTGCTAAACTTTGAAATAGTCTATATCACATGACTACTCTACCCTCCCCCCCACCCCCCTCTCTCTTTCCTTTTCTCCTCCCAGTTGTAAATATATAAATATTATATAACTGTTCAATCTCCTTCTCTGTTCTTCAGGCCCGACTTCACACTCAAACTCAGTGAAGAACTGCATTATTTCTTCTCACTTCCCACCTGCCCACCCAGGTTCCCCCTAAATATATAGCATGCTCCTCCAGCTGTTTGAGATTCTCACTCAATTACCTCTTCATTCCCTTCTATT